AAAGGAGCAGTGGGAAATCGGTAGTGCACTACATCCTGGGATGTGAAATCAGCAATAGAAAATGGGTGGAATAAGAGCCTTCTGGGCGTACAGTTTTATTGGATTGTTTTCAGGCAATAAAAGAGTTCCAGACTACTGGAAACTGTCTGGAAAAATATCCCCTCCTCAGAAACTGAAGATCAGAATGGTGAGCAGGCGGAGCCATGCTAGATGAATGACTGCCAGATACTGCAAGTGTGACTTTAGTTTAAAGCAAGAAACAAACAAAATATCAGTGACATAAATGATGCTTTTAGCAGTCACTCAGCTGATGATTCCCTGTGTGTGCTCCATGTACCACCTGCATCAGCCTTACTTTGGAAGCTTGTTAAATATATAAATCCCCCAGCCTTCCCCTTAGCCACACTTGTCAGCTATGTTGTAATATAACAGTGCCACAACTTCAGGTACTTGCAACAAGCTTCTGTTTATAGCTCAGAACTGCTGGTGATTTGAAGTACATGTTTTCATGTTTTCTCATTCTTGGACTTAGCCTGGAAGAACAGTTGCTTCCTGGAACATATTGTTCTCCTGACAGAGGTGAACATCAAGAGATGGATTGATTGGACCTGCATAATTTTGTTTGGAATACATGTTTGGATGTGGTATGTCTTACATAAACTTACATTATTTGTCCAAAAATACAAATAGGAACTACTCTAAACCATGTAGCAGTAGGTGAGGATACATATATGTCTCTTTGCAAGGCAGAGAAAAGGCAGAGAAACCAGAGATCAAATTGCCAACATCTGCATTTTTATGCATTTTATATGCCAACATCTGCAGATATGCAGGTGACAACATCAAATTGTCATCTGTGTATTTGAGGTTATTGATATTTCTCTCAGCAACCTTGATTCCATCTTGTGCTTCATCCAGCTCAGCATTTCTCATGATGTACTCTGCATATAAGTTACATAACCTCGGTGACAATATACAGGTTTGACATACTCCTTTTCCTGTTTGGAACCAGTCTGTTGTTCCATGTCCAGTTCTAACTGTTGCTTCCTAATCTGTATAAAGATTTCTCAAGAGGCAGGTCAGGTGGTCTGGTATTCCCATCTCTTTCAGAATTTTCCACAGTTTGTTGTGATCCATACAGTCAAAGGCTTTGGCATAGTCAATAAGGCAGAAATAGAAGTTTTTTTCTGGAACCCTCTTGCTCATTCGATGATCCAGAGGATGTTAGCAATTTGATTTCTGGTTCCTCTGCCTTTTCTAAAACCAGCTTGAATATCTGGAAGTTCATGGTTCATGTATTGTTGAAGCCTGGCTGGAAGATTTTTGAGCCTTACTTTACTAGTGTGTGAGATGAGTGCATTTGTGCAGTAGTTTGAGCATTCTTTGCCATTGCCTTTCTTTGGGATTGGAATGAAAACTGGCATTGTCCAGCTCTATGGACACTGCTGAGTTTTCCAATTTTGCTGGCATATTGAGTGCAGCACTTTCACAGCATCATCTTTTAGGATTTGAAATAGCTCAACTGGAATTCCATCACTTCCACTAGCTTTGTCCATAGTGATGCTTCCTAAGGCCCACTTGACTTCACATTCCAGGATATCTGTCCCTAGGTGAGTGATCACACCATCATGATTATCTGTGTCATGAAGATCTTTTTTTGTACAGTTTTTCTGTGTCTTCTTGACACCTCTTCTTAATATCTTCTGCTTCTGTTAGGAAGTCCCTTCAGTAATGCTACAATGTTTCTGAAATGCTATAACATTATAGAGTCACCTTAGAAATGCTATGGCAATCATTGACACCATGCCCTTGACTTTATCTCTGGTGGACAAAAAGGCATTGAGCATATGAATCACTTCTTTGAAGTTCTGAAGAAAAACTATTGCATTTACCACTTATATGAAAAGTCTTTATTATATTTACAAAGACTTTTTTCCCATATATCCTTATTAGAGTTCAGAGATGAGAAAATATTATATCTCCCTTTTAAAATTAAAATGAAGTGAAGTGAAGTTGCTCAGTCATGTCCAACTCTTTGGAGACTCCATAGACTCTAGCCTACCAGGCTCCTCCATCCATGGAATTTTCCAGGCAATAGTATTGGAGTGGGTTGCCATTTCCTTCTCCAGGGGGTCTTCCAGACCCAACGATTGAACCCAGGTCTCCTGCATTGTAGGCAGATGCTTTACCATCTGAGCCACCAAGGAAGTTTAATTTAGTTTTTTCAGTTTCTCTTCTAGACTTGGCTTCCAGGAAACAGTGAACCTAGTTTTGTTTTCAAATATAAAACCTTTCCTTAGCCTAGGTTTTCTAGCTCATTCATTTGCTTCCTAATATTTGTTGTTTTCTGATTTGTTCATATTTTTAAACTTAAATATAAGAATGACATTGTTTCTTAGAAATTGGCATAATGTGTGTGTAAAATAATAGTATGCTACTAACTTATCTAAGACATTATACTATTAAGATGTATAAGTTATAGCTTCTCTACTGATATTATGTACAAAATATTATTTAGCTATTTCATAGAATTTTCTATTTTATACTGACATCTACACCTTTTTTCTTCAACACTGCATTTGTATCTACCATTTGGAGTAGCTATATACTGATCCTAAATAATACCCTCTTATAAAATACGCCAAATTTCTAATGTCAAAAAAAAGTGTTATTGGAAAAGGAAATAAGCCAAATGAGTTTTAAAGAGAATAATCTATTTGTAAGTTAAATATTCTCTCCATAAAACTCTGAAACTAAAATATCTAAATGATAAACTTTCAATTATTGGTAAAAAAAAAGTTTTTCTTAAAATTAAAAAAAAAACCCACAACAATTGTATTAATTGATTATAGAGATCATAATACCATGCTTTTCTGACCTCACCTTTTTTCCTCTTTTTCCAAAGTTTCTCCTTTTAATGAAATGATATGAGGAAAAGCCCCCAAATCTCAGGGATTATCACAAACATTTTTACTCTTAAATGATCACAGGAGTCTTACACCAACTCTGGTAGCTGGCTTCACTGGAACCTTATACAAAGATGTGTTTGTTACAATGTCTCCTGTTGGCACTGCCATATCCCACTGAAGCAATAGGTACTCAACCAAATTCCATGGCTTCACAATCTAAATTACTGTTTCTTCTCTAGGTTTGGGCAATTTAACCTGCACTTACCATGGTCATATAACATCAATGTTTCTAGCAAAGAAATTTCCAAATAAAAATGTCCACAAAACAGTTTTTTATGTTGTTGTTTTCCTGTCACTAAGCCATGTACGACTTTTTGCAACCCCATGGACTGCAACATGCCAGGCTTCTCGTCCTCCACTATTTTCTGGAGTTTTCTCAATCTCATATCCATTGAGTGGTGATGCTATCCAACCATCTCATCCTCTGCCATCCCCTTCTCCTTTCACCTCTAATCTTTCCCCAAATCAGGGTATTTTCCAATGAGTCAGCTCTTCCAATAAGGCGTCCAAAATATTGGAGCTTCAGTTTCAGCATCAGTCCTTCCAAAGAATATTCAGAGTTGATTTCCTGGTTTGATCTCCTTGCAGTCCAAGGGACTCTCAAGAGTCTTCTGTAGCATCACAATTCAAAGCATCAATTCTTCAGTCCTCAGACTTCTTTCTAGACCAGTTCTCACATCCATACATGACTACCAGAAAAACAAAAGCTTTGACTATATTGGCAATGTAGTAATGTCTCTGCTTTTTAATATGTTTTCTAGGTTTGTCTGAGCCACCAGGGAAGACACTAAGTTTGTGATGGGCTTCCCCAGTAACTCAGAGGTAAAAAATCTGCCTGACAATCCAGGAGCCACAAGAGAGGTGGGTTCAATCCCACGTTCAGGAAGATTCCTTGCAGGAGAGCATGGCCACCCACTCCAGTATGCTTGCCTGGAGAATCCCATGGACAGAGGAGCCTTGTGGTCTACAATCCATAAGGTCACAAATAATCAGACACAACTGAAGCTACTTAGCATGCATGCACGCAGGTTTGTCATACCTTTCCTTCAAGGAGCAAGTGTCTTTTAACTTCATGGCTGCAGTTGCTCTTCACGGTGATTTTGGGGAACAAGAAAATGAAATCTATCACTGTTTCCACTTTCCCCCATTCTACTTGCCATGAAGTGATGGGACCAGATGCTATGACCTCAGCTTTTTGAATGTTGAGTTTCAAGCCAGCTTTTTCACTCTCCTTTTTCACCCGCATCAAGAGGTACTTTTTAGTTCCTCTTCACCTTCTGCTGTTAGAGTGGTATCATCTGTATATATGGGGTTGTTAATATTTCTCCCTGCAATCTTGATTCCAGCTTGTGATTCATCTAGCCCAGCATCTTGCTTGATGTACTCTGCATATAAGTTAAATAAGCAAGTGAAATGGGGCTTCCCTGGTGGCTTAGTTGTAAAGAATCTACCTGCCAGTATTGGAAATGTGGGTTTGATCCCTGGGTTGGGAAGATCCCCTGGAGAATGAAATGGCAACCCACTCCAATATTCTTGCCTGAAAAATCCCATGGAGAGAGAAACCTGGAGGTCTACAGTCCACAGGGTCGCAAGAGAGTCATACAAGACTTAGTGACTCAACAACAAGAATATTTTTTTATACTACTTATGCAAAAGTTTCAAGGAAATTTGAATATACAGATGTAGACTGATTCACTAATAGGGTCAGAAGCATCATGCAAAAAGAGGTCTGTATTTTGATATCCTAAAACAAAAAACAAGAGTTTAAATTACCAAAGGCCCTAGATATGATATTTACATTTCATGTTTGGGTAGACATATGTGGTGAAGACAAAATGAAAAAAACAAACAAACAAACAAACCTTGAAGCTAATGAAGCCCATTTTTTTTTCAATTGACATTCAATCAAGCAATCAGTCAAAATAAAAGTTCCCTCAAAAGTCCCATGTTATTTTGTTAACTACTCACCCTGTTACCAAGCTTAGGGTTTGGCTGCTCTTTGTTCAAAAGCCAATGTTTGAGAGACAAATGTTGGTGTCAAAAGAAAGCTTGCTTTATTCAGGAAGCCAACAACCTAGGGAGAAGTTGGACTCATGTCCAGAAACAATTCCCAATTGCTGATCAGGGAGCAAGAGCTTTCCACAGGAGGATTTTCAGGGTTGTATGTGTGGAAAGAGGGTGCTATATGCAAAACAGCACAGTCAGCTCTGAAAATCGTCTTGAAATTGGCAATGTGATAGTCTGATCAGCATCATCTTGATTGTTTTAATAATTATTTTGCAGTTCCAGGATCAGTTTGTTCTCATTTCCTTGAGACAAGTTCCAAAATTGTCACGGAGAAGCTTGTGTCATGGCTACCGTCTGTTCATCCTGTAGTTAATTTTCTTCCACCTGGTAGGGTTTCAATACCTGCAAAAAACCTCAAAGAATATGACTCAGAATATTATCTATTGTCCCTGAGGAGGAACTAAAGGCCCTTGACTTTATTTAAGAGCTAACTATTATTATTTTGTCTTGTTTGAGTGCTTTCCTTTGTTTCTGTATTTTCTCACTTCTATGATTAAATCTAAGTTTTTCTACAGACAAGAGACAGGCTGAGGACATGAGGGGTCTATCCTGGAAAGGCCCCATAGCGTCCTGCTCCATTACAATCCAACCAAATTATCTTAAATCTTTCCTAGTTCCTTTACTTCTGTTCATATATTAAGTTTTTAGTACCTAGTCTAGAGTTGCTTTTCTTTTCTGAATATATATTTGGGTGACTCAATCCAACTCTTTATTATTAATTATCTTTTAACCCCCAAGCAATTTCCAAACATAAACTCCTAATTATAAACCCTTTCTTAAATTCTAGATAGGTATATCTTATTGTCTTTTTTTTAATTTTCTCTATCATCTATTTAATATAGACATTTTCAATTAGTGCTGAGTTCCTTATTTTTACTCTATCCGTAGTTGTTCCTTTCCTGGATTTCCATATATGAGTCAACTACCCACTTTTCAAGAAAAAATAAAAAAATAAAAATTAAATAATCATTGATTTATCTTTAACTCACCCACAAAATCCAAATCATTGGCAAATTCTAACTCCACAATCTCTCTTAAATGACCAACTTCTTTCCATTGCACTTCTATTGAATGATTCCCACATTGACATCTTTGATAATTTTTCACCTGATAGCCCTGTCTCTAGCTTTGCCAAAACCACATCCGTCATTCATCAATAGCCAATGACTAAAAAAAAAATCAGAATCAGAGAATTTCCTCTCACTTTCTTGTAAGATATGCCTTCTGTCTTTATCTTTGTCTTCATCAATGTCTTTATCTTGTACCCTAGGCTTCTACACATCACCTCTATTGCCTATCTTTGGACCTTTCAGAATTTCAAATTCATGAGTCTCTTGAATGCTCACCCTGAAATGTTTCTTATAATGTTAATATTATTTACCATCTTGTGTTATTCAGCACTCTCTCCTCAAATACTGTCTCAGTGAAACTCTCACACACTATCAGTTCTGAAGTATCCATTTTGTTATGCATTATGACATCACCCAACTATAATAGCTGCATAGCATTCTTATTACCTTTATTTACTCATTATCTGTACCTTTATTTTAAAATATAGTTTCCATGAGAGCAAAGATTTCTTTACTTTTTTCTGAATTCTCAGTGTCTAGAAGAATGCCTAGCACATATAGTTGACATTCATTAATTATGAGTTGAGTAGGAGCTATTTGGATATTTACACACTTTGCTTACTTTTATTACTTAATTCTCTTGGGATGAAAATTCTACCCCCCAACCCCACTTCCAATTCTTTCACATAATCATCATCATCCAAAAATTTAGATATTTCAAAGACCACTGTAAATATTTTATAATGTGAATCATATTCCTTGAAAACTTGGAGACACTGTAGATATATATATATATATATATATATATATATATAATATTGTTGTTTAATTATTGTTATACTGTGAGCTCAAAGATTGTGATTTTTTACATCTCTTTAACTGTCTTTATATAATACATGGTACCAATACCATAAGATACATAGTCAATATTTTATAACCATATTACTAACTTTTAAAACCTATAAGATTAAAATGATTTAAATATTTCTACTTTCATACATGCTATTAAAGAAATATGACAATTATTGTCATATTGTTAATTTTCTTAAAGGATGACTTTGGAACTTGAACATTTTAACTGAAGAAAACAATTGCACTTTGGTTTGCAGTGTTCACTGGGATTTGAAAGGTCCTAATCATTATCCTCTTTTTTTTTTCCTGATAATTACCAATTTGAGATAAGAACAGAAATTAGAGATGAGACAACATGCATTCTCAGTTTTATTACTTTACACATCTAAGTACCAATTCCTTCATTTAACATATGAAAAGATCAGCAATGATCAGAAAATGAAGGTTATGAACAAAACAAGTTCTGTAGAAATCAGTTTCCCCACAAGTAATATGGAAATAATATTAATTACCTCCTGAGATTACTTTGAGAAATAAATGAGTTCACTCATGTATAACACTTAGATTCTGAAAAGATAAAGAAAAACAAGCCATAGTCTTTGTTCTTAGTTTAGTAATGGAGATGAATATTAATTTCTTTAAAGAGATTTTGAGATGGTCATTCAAAATTGACAGGTATAGAAATTATATCAAATAGGTAGTGATTAATTTTATCTAAGCTTCTCAGAAACCAAAGAATCAGTCTGACAAAACTCTAATATAGCAAAACTTGAAAACAACTTGTTTTGAAATTTGACATAGATAATTAAGACAAATTTAAAAACACAACATTTATATATTTGGATAATAAATTTCCAATGTAGTTATCCAACTATTGGACACCCTCAATATATTTATATATCAACACATGTTGAAATAAACATAAAACTGATCTACCTTAACTGAATACTCATTTTTAAAACTTATTTATTTATTTTAATTGGAGGCTAATTACAATATTGTAGTGGTTTTTGTCATACATTGACATGAATCAGTCATGGGTGTACATGAATAATCTTGATACATAAAATTTCTTCCTGTACCTTGCATTCAGACAGTTGTCTAAAAAAATGCTGCTTTTGACTACCTCTGCCTGGGTTAAAAACATAACAATACCATGTTATCATCTTTGGACATGATCCAGCATAGAAAGAATTCATTCATATGACCTTCTCTTTCCTTTCAATTTTCCTATTGCTCACTGTGCTCTCATCCTTACTTCTGCTCTATCTTATTTGGTCACATTCAGCATTATAGAGAGTAGACAAAGGCAAAGTTGGAGGCTTTCCAGGTTAATATCAGCTGTTTAAAGTTGAGACAGATTTAGTTTGTTCTTCAAAGGGACAGGTGCAAAGGTATATATTCACATGGAGACATCAGGACTCTTTCCAGAGGGTCACTGCAACACTGCCAGCTTTAGTGTAAAAAAAAAAAAAAGGAGAAATACATATAATGCAAAGGGATTTTCAACAGCTCCTTAGAGAATACCCTATTTTGAAGGCAAACATTCTCCATCCCAGCAATGATTTAAAATATCCTATGGAACTTATAGTAAATACATATTCAAAGCCTGAATTGAATACTATAATTCAGTATATCTCAAAAGGAGCTTGGACTTCTGTATTTTTAGAAAATTCAATAAATTCAGAGATGCTCTGAGAATGAGGATCTCTGAAAGCAGTCTTTGGGTTAGATTATGAAGGAAAAACTATTTGCAATACATGGTATTTGCATGTGGACTTCCCAGGTGGCTCGGAGGTAAAGAATCCACCTGACAGTGCAAGAGAGACAGGTTCCATTCCTGGGTTGGGAAGGTCCCCCAGAGAAGGAAATGGTAATCCTCTCCAGTATTCATGCCTGGGGAATCCCATGCACAGAGGAGCCTGGAGGGCTACAGTCCATGGGATGGCAAAGAGTCGACATAACTGATGGAGCACATATACATGGTATTTGCAAAATATTAGTTACATTATAAAGAAGAAACCCCAGTTACTTAGAGATTTGTGTTAATACAAGAGCAATGAGAAAGATGCTTATGTTTTCTAGGACAAAATTTATGCACTCATAGATAGAATTAACAGATTAATATTTCATAATGTCACATTAAATCAAATATTTAAACCAGCATTCTGGTATAGTAGCATTATCTATCTTAGTATTTACTGAAGAAAGACAAAGTTTCTAAGAGGTATATATATCTCTTAGAAACATATATATATATATATGTCTTAGAGTAAGAAACCTGAGTTCAAGTAGCCTTCTATTCTAACATCCTATACAACTACAGATAAATCACTTTAAAAAATAATCATCCTAATATCAGTCACTTTACACTGGTTTATGTTCTTTGATATCACCTACTCAAGTACACTTTCTCTACACTCCAATTAGGTGAGGTCACTGAATATTACTGTAATCAGCTTACCTCATCTACAAATCTATAAATTAACAGATGGAGGAAGAGCAAGCATGGTATTCAGTGTCAGTACAGAAACAATAAAGGGATAGCTACATGTTGATGTAGAAACTCAGATAAACAGCTTTAGTACAACATTAAGTGTGAGAAGGAGGATAGCACATCAAATATTTCTGAGCATGAAGAAAGGAATAACTACCTCATACAGGGTCATGATGGACATTTAAAGACTACTTCCTAAAGAAGGTGATACTTGAAACCAGACATTGGGGTTACTCAAGAATGTAAGAAGGATATTCTTGAAATTTTCAGATAGAAAAATTCTGGGTCATTTTGATGTATATTAGTATATTTATCTGAGAACTTTCTGTGTAAAATAAAATAGTGGAAAAGAAATTGAGGTAAAATAATTACAGTTTCAAAATGGCACCTCTTTTGAGTTTATATTAATACTTGAAGTACCAAGAAGTTACTGAAAATCTGTAAGCAGTGAAGTCACAAACTATAGCTCTGGTAGTATTATGAATGGTGGAATCTAAACAGTGAAATTATTCTGGTTTCCATCATGGTGTGCTAAGTTCTTTTAGTCATTTGTAACTCTTTGCAACCCTATAGAGTATAGCCTGCCAGGCTCCATTGTCAATGGGAATTTTCAGGCAAGAATACTGGAATGGTCTGCCATGTTCTCCTCCAAGAGATCTTCATGAACCAGGGATCAAACCTGCATCTCTTATACGTCCTGCATTGGCAGGTGGGTTCTTTGCTACTAGTGCCACCTGGAACTCATTAAATATTTGGAGACTGAATTGTTCTCATTATTAATGGCTTATAATTCCAGGTAATAATCATAATTATCTTTCTAATTCTGCTAAACCTATAACATCTATAATGTATGCAGTCTCTGGTTCTGAAACCCACATGCCTGGAAAATAGGACTGCAAGCCTTCTTTGTGGTCCTGTGAGAATTTTAAGCCACACATTATAAGTAGAAATGAAATTAAGAAAGTAACATTTCTGAAAGGCTATTGTTCTGGAGCAGTAAAAATTCAGATAATACTGGTAGTTTTATAGCTTTATGTTTTTTTGACCCACGTGATAGGAAGGAGAATATTTCTTATTAGAGACCTAAGAAACAACATACAACATATAAGCTCAATTTTTACTTTAGAGTAAAAAATAAGAGCATAATTTGAGAATCCTCAAGTTTTCTTTTCTCCACCTCACCAGTTGCTTTCCAGACAGTTTTACATATATTTCAAAGCAGAATTTATGTGTTCTTGTTTCCATCCAATCCTTTTTATTTGTTTGATTTTTTTTTCTTTCTGTAATGTTCCTTTCCCCCTCCTTCTTTCATTTCACCAGCTCCAACTCTGAAAAAACATGTAACTATGGCTTATCAGATGGTTTATAGAGATAGTACTAAAAACCATATCAATTGTATGCAAAGTCCAGTCCTAACAAGAATGATTTAAATTAAAAAAAAAAAGAATGATATAAATTTACAAAGTGACACCAATGTTAGACTATTTTAGACAAGTATCTGATTATGTGGCTACAACCTGTCTAGGGAAGCTAAGATACTAGTTGTATCATGAATAAGTCACAAGTTCTGAGTTACTATGAAGTAAAGAATACTAAGAAACAGCCTTTTAGGTTCCTGAAACTTGTATGTTTCAGTCAATCTTGTTTTAATAATCATAATTCTCCTATCAGTTAAGAATGGTGGAATCTGTTGGTGCTATTTAATAAGAATTTCTGGTTTACTATTATTCAAAAATGCTTCCTACAACTCTCTCTTAGACTGAAACTATATGACCAGTTTGGGCCAAAGAATTGTGGATGGAGATACTCAAGTAATGTTTGGCCAGAATATTTGAATGTGAGTATACGACTCTTCAGAGATCTTTTTTTCCTTCTGTCGCTTCAACTGGCAATATTTCAGATAGTAGCTACTTCATTAATTGAGTTTTAAGGTCAAATCATTGCAGAAAACTTAGCCTCTCTGTGACAAATACCTTGCCTAAAGATATTCATTAAGTACAAATATAGCTATATACAAAAGACCTAAAGACAATAGGAGACAAAAATTCACCAGA